TGCGTCATTGGACAAGCGCGGCCATTAATTCAGTCTTCTCTTACATTCGGTATCGGGGAAGCATCTTCGGTAGGGATCAGAGAAACGTATTAGATTTGATTCATTTAATCGGCGAGGACACTGAACAACTAACAATAATAATAATAATCATCCATTCTTTGTTTGAGGCATGTGTCGAGGTTCAGCTGTGGATGTGTTTGCGAGACGAAATGGGAAATGAAAAATACATTAATCGAAGACATATCTTGCGTTCATCTTACTTGATTAGTGCTGCTTGTTCGGTGAGGCTTATTTGTTAAATATAAAGCATTTCAATCATATTATGAAAATGATCATGGAATCCCTTGGCTTAAACTATCCAGACAAATTCTACTGTCAGCCTGACATGTTTGGGAAAGGGTGAAGACACACACACACACGCACACACACACACACAAAGAAAAAACAACAAATGCTAACAGTGTGGTGTCTTAGCTAGGGGCAAATAGTGATCTCTCCAAACAAAAACGTAACGCTATGAAAGTACAAAAATACATTTTTACAGTAGAAAATACCAGCAATAGAGTTTTATATAAAAAAATTGCCAACAATACTATTTATAGTAAAATTACAAACAATACTATCTATAGTAAAATTAGCAACAATCTATATTAAAATTAGCAATGATACTATCTATAGTAAAATTAACAACTATACTGTCTATAGTAAAATTACCAACAATACTAGCTATAGTAAAATTAACAACTATACTATCTATAGTAAAATTACCAACAATACTAGCTATAGTAAAATTACCAACAATACTAGCTATAGTAAAATTAACAACAATACTACTTATAGTAAAATTAGCAACAATACTATCTATAGTAAAATTAGCAACAATATTATCTATAGTAAAATTACCAACTATACTATCTATCGTAAAATTACCAACAATAGTATTTGTAGTAAAATTACCAACAGTATTATTCATAGTAAAATTACCAACAATACTATCTATAGTAAAATTAGCAACAATCTATAGTAAAATTAGCAATAATACTATCTATAGTAAAATTAACAACGATACTATCTATAGTAAAATTACCAACAATACTATCTATAGTAAAATTAGCAACAATACTATTTATATTAAAATTACCAACAATAGTATTTATAGTAAAATTACCAACAATACTATTTATATTAAAATTACCAACAGTATTATTCATAGTAAAATTACCAACAATACAATTTTAATACCAAATGACCAGTAAAACATTTTATCTGTAGTTGAAACATCCGGTTTCGTTCAAAATATATTTAGTTTATTTCGATTTCAGCATGAAACAACCAACAGAGATCGATATGTCGCTGAAGAAAATAAACGAATCTATCCACCATTTGTAATGAAGAAGAGATCATGCCTGTACATAATGTAATGACAAAAGTATGCAAATATAGGCTTTAAGAAAGCTTTATTCAACTAAGAATACAAGGTTCACGTATAGTGTCCTTTTATAGTCCCAGTAAATAGAAATAGCTTTCTAAAAGAAGAGACTAACAAAACAAGGGGAGACCACTCTTGATTATTCAAACATATATTTACTAAATACTAGTAATTTCGGAGAAACCTTTTCTGATATTATTATAATATTTTCAATTTAAAACTGACAGGACACAGCGAAACCATGCGAAGCAGTGTGAGATGTTAACAGAATAATTGAATAGCAGAATAATGACAAACGAGGGTGGTAAAGGGTAAACATTACTTTAACAGGAAGTTCTTGAGAATTGTATAGAATCACATTCAACGACTTCATGATATGGCATTGACAATAAAAGGTTATTCGTGAATATTTTGCCTACATTAATGTTAACCAAATATTCGGGGGTTTGGAAAATTCACTTGTAGTTCTTATTATAAGGTTTATGCAGAATAAATTACGAGGATGTGCTGAAACGTTAATAGGCCGATTATGAATTATATACTGATCCAACCTATAATCAAAAGGGTGTTATAATTTAATTTTTAAGATAAATATAAGATTTCATAGTACAAGAGTGGCTGAAATGTCCAGAGAATGAATCGTACACTGATAAACTTGTAATTAATAGAGCGTTATAATTAAAATTTTAAGATAAATATAAAATTTTACAGTAAAAAGGTTGACTGAAAAGTCCAGAGGATGAATCCTACATTGATAACCTATAATTAATAGGGTGTTATAATTTAATTTTTGACATTAATATAAGATTTTACAGTACAAACGTGGGCTGAAAAGTCCAGAGGGTGAATCCTACAACGATAAACCTATAATTAATAGGGTGTTATAATTTAATTTTTAAGATTAATATAAGATTTTACAGTACACGGGCGGGTTGAAAAGTCCAGAGTGTGACTATGTGCGAATGAGGCTAGAGCTGTGAAATCTTGCATGCATTACTTTCAACTATTCTTATTAATAACTGCATTATTTGTTTCCAGGTAAACAAACATCTGACTGTTAAAAGAAGACGTCAAATGTAACTAGTACAAAATGGATACAATTTAACATCCGGTTATTATCAAGTACCTGAAGAAAATGTGTTTGGTTTAGTTTATTTAACGGCATTTATGGGACCTATGGGACATTTTATGACGAAATTTATTGGGGTGGGGGAGTTGGTAATTTTTTTTTACGATGAAAATGGATATTGCTGGAATTTTTACTATAAAATGTAATTTTATATTTTCATAATGTTTTAACTCTAGTTTGGTGGGGTGTTCTCTATTTGCCCATAGCTGGGACCCTAAAAGGTGCTACCACCCTGGGCGAGGGTGGACCTGAGAACACCAGAAATTAATAGATGGTTCCACGATCTTCAGATCAATCAGATGCCTTGCTGCCAGATGTGGTTTATAGTCAGACCCAGGACGAGCAGCAAAAAGGGTTTCGCGTCTAAGGACATTCATGCTGGCATGGTTGCTACATCAAGTGATGATGCTCCAGCTTTATCAACACTGCAAAAATGGGCAACTGAATTTATTAGGGGAAAGAAGAGTCCTGATGATGACCCAATGTCTGGACATCCTCAAACTTTGATCGTGTTCGAAGCATGATGAATGACAAGCGATTGACTATAAATCAAATAGCCAATTTCATTTGAATATCCCGTGAGAGAGTTGAGAAACCTGGCACAATGAAAGATTCTGCTCGGTGGGTGGCACGTCTTCTGACACCTGATCAAAAGCGTACCAGGCTGATCCCAATCACGGGAAAATATGACAGAGTTTCCTTGAACGTTTTCTAAACCAGGATGAGTACTGGGTTCATCATTTTGAGGCAGAGATAAAGAGAAAACTCATGTAGTTG